AAAAAGATAAACAAAAAAAGAGCAGAAAAGAAGAAAAAAAAGAAGGGAAAAAAAAGTATGAATCTAGAAAATTGGGAATCATTAAGAAAGAAATTGGATTCATAAAGATAGTGTGCTAGTCCGGGTAGACTAGAGAGACAAATTCATAAACACAGATATATGTATAAGAGAGAGTTTTATCTAAAGGGTAATTGTACATTAAGGAAACATCCCAACCCAGTCCAGGCCAAGCCCATAAATCTGATATTAGCCCGTATGTCTGATACCAATGTATAAAGTCCTCTTCAGACTTACAAAACCCATGCAATGACGCTGAATGCAGGACAATCACAGGCCAGTGGGTACAAAAATCTTTGGGTCCAGTGGCGCTATATGCATCCCAGCGCTGGCAGGAGTTTTTACTTGGCTTCTCCAGCTTCCAGGGCTGCATCAGAGTAGGTCCATGTGGCTTCTCCACAGGGATGTCTCACAGGGAGTGAGCAGAGAGAGAGAGAGTGTCTCCCGTCTCCAAGGAGGAAAATCAGCAGTTCCCAGAATTCTCGGGAGAAGACCGTGCCTACACAGAGGTCTCATTGGCCATCTCCAGATTGACAGGCTCGACGCCACCCCTACACTCTTAATCCTCAAATTGACACCAGATTAGGTGACGACCACAGACAGATATTCTAAGTGTTAGTGAGCTGGAATGGACTGCTATTGGCCATTCTGAATCAGAAAATCATATGTTTTTTTATGCTGGGAATGAAATAAGAGGAACAACATCGCATTCGTCAAAAAGAACATTTCAAGATCTATCTTGAAGTCCACTGCTGTCTGTAATATGTGAATATCGATCAGCATACATGGAAATCCAATCACCACAACTATTATTCGGATTTTTGCAACAGCCACTAAAGCTAGTGATACAGAAACTGAAGAATTCTACCCTCATCTTCAGACTGAAAATAAACATGCGATTAAAATGCATCGATACACAAATGTACAAATGTGCTTGACACAATGGATGGATGGATGGTTTGTGATGAGTT